CCACCCTTTTGTCCCCAGTTACCGTCACTGCTTCGCTCAGTCTTCCTTTCTGATTTGTTGTATGGGTCTGTTCCATATTGCTGCAGACCATCTTCTTATCCTCTGCTCATCCCTTGGCTCCGTTTGGCCAGTCCCCCTGGCCTGGTCCTTTCTCCTTCTCCTAAACCATCCAATTCCTAGCATTCTCACTTTAGCCCTGTAAGTGGAGACTGTATGTTCCTCCAAAACATGGATATTTATATATCCTTACAATCTAGAAAATAAACATCAGCATTTCTGAAAATTGTTTTTCATTTTATGAAAACGTATGTTTCGGGTCTTATGCCGATTTACCTGGTACTGGCAAATTGTTCTGTGTGTGTGTACAGGGTAACACTTTGGGTTGTGCTGCAACACATTTTGTTTAAATCTTAAAACTTATCTTTGGAATAAAATTGCACCTGCCTTCTTGCACAGTTTTAATTTTTGTCCCCAAAAGATGTGAAAATCCTCTTTTATTCGCATTGAAGCTCATATTAGTCATGAAACTGCTGACACATACTCCATGTAATAACAGCAATACATAATTTAACACTTGGGAAAATCATCTTTAGTTACAACAGGGCAGACATAACTGTGGAGGGATAGTCAAATTATTGTATTTTACTAAATGTAGAATGTTGCAAATAACTTGATGTGGATTGGAGAACCAAGTCAGAAATATTCCTTTTTGTTTAGTCAGGACTCACCTGTTTATTCAAGCATGCTATGACAGTGTCTTTTCACACATACATTACTGTTTGTCATTTCGTACTGTATTTATGAAATGAAATGTTTTATTAAAGGCTTAATATTTTCTGTGGAACAATTTTCATTTTGGGATCTTTTGAAAATATATTCACATCTCAATGTAAAGTGTTCATGTTACAGTTTAGACAGGAAATATATTTAATCAGTACTGTAAGGACTAGTAGTATCAAATTTAATTTAGTCCCTTTCATATCTGCTTGTCCACGCAGTGTCACAACCCAGAAGAGCGACGACCTCTTCGCTGATATGAGAACCTCAGATCTCATAAATCGCTCTCATCCCAAGTGGCATCATTGTGTGCGTGTAGTCAGACAATCTGTGTGAACATAATAACAAACACATTATTAGGTTTCTTTTAATATCCCAAAATGGTGTTGACAGCCATGGAAGCCTCACCAGTGGACCTGTAGACTTGGTACTGAGCTGCGTCGACAATTTTGAGGCACGCATGGCCATCAATTCAGCCTGCAATGAGCTAAATCTCTCCTGGTTTGAGTCTGGTGTGTCAGAGAACGCTGTTTCTGGACACATTCAGTTCATTGTGCCCGGAGAGACTGCCTGTTTTGCTGTATGTATTTTCTTTTAAGAACAAGGCATTCTTTTCATTGTGAGAGTATCTGATCTAAAACTTGGAACCTTCTTGACATGCACTGGAGAATGTTACTTTCTTTACATTTCAGGTTTTAAAAGTAATTAAATAAAATTATATAATAAGTACTGATACACAATGGAGTCAGTAACTTGACTGACTGCAGATTTAGTGTAAAATGAAACTAATACATCTGGTGTTTAGATTTGAGAATGTTTGAAGCTTCACTACCTTCATTGCCTTGTCTTATAGGCACTGTTTATGTGTTTATCTTGTTCTCGTTAACCATATGTGTAGTTATGTTATACACAAATGTTCATTTACTGCATTTTATTCACTGATGGCTTACTGTATTGCTAACAAATTAATTCTTGTTGATGTTCATTCACTACAAATAAAAATATATTTTTTGCAGACCTTTTCAAAGGACTGTTGTACTTTGTTAAATATTCACTGCAGGTAGTGGTTTAGAACCAAAGCAGCACAACTGAACATCAGATACTTTGTACAATGAGCTGTTTGTGATTAAATTGAACTTTGGCTGTATGTAAAGTCAGCGTAATAATTGATTGGTACTCATCACACTTAAGAAGAAGAATTTCGTCTGTTTGGCTTTCAGTGTGCTCCACCTTTGATTGTAGCATCCAGTATTGATGAACGAACTCTAAAGAAGGATGGTGTATGTGCAGCCAGCCTCCCAACCACTATGGGCATCGTAGCAGGGTTTCTTGTCCAGAACGCACTGAAGTAAGTCGAGCAGAAAGGCGCACTCTAACTCCAAAAGCATCTTCACTATGCATAGAATAAATTATGGAAATTACTGTTATTATTCAGTTCAGAAATTTTTTCTGAAACATCTACTTCGCCAGCTTGGCTATGATACATGGGCAGGGGTTTGTGTCTAAAGTGCTATGACTAATGATTGATGGAACATCATGATTTGTCTCACATGGTATCTCATGTGAATGTAATAATGTGTGATCTGTAGTTGACATAGACAATCTGGTCATGTCTTCAGGTGATTCATTATTATTATTTAATGAGATTATGTCTTAATGTTCCTGCTAATTGCTGAACCTCAGGAAGGAGAGTTGCATGCTTCTCCCATCACAAGGCCTTGAGAGATTTTGATTGCTAGTGGATGTTATAAATACAAGCCCAAACAGGTATAGAAAGCAAGAGGTGGAAAAGCCTCTTGGAAAGTGGTCACTTAGAATAACAAGAAGGTATTAATGCTGATCGGTTGTAAGACTCACAAACCAAAGTGGGAGTAAGATTTCAGGTTCTCACGACAGTAAGTATGAAGAGGTGCTTGCTGTCTCCTTCAACAAGGTGATGAGTAATTGTCGTCACCCTCATGATGGAGGCAGCAGGCAGCTCTGAAACATCGTTAAACTTCTTCCAGATTACATGGCACAACAATCCACAGGACAGCCATCTTCAAATTGTGAGTACTTTTATACTTTGCATGATTTACAAGTACATGCTCTTATGTTATTATACAAAATTTAAATTTAATTGTACATGAACCTGATAAGGTAACAGACTATGTATTGAAACAAGTTATTTTAGCACCACAGAAATTACCTCATTTAACATTGTGCATCTAAATTTCTCTCTCTGCACATAATGCACCTGTGTCTAGTTTACTTATAGCTTTAATATTAAAAGAAACATAATTCACACTGTGTCAAATACAGTGTTGCAGTTTAACTAAATGAACTGCTAACTAACTAACTAACTAGATGGCTTACCGAACCCGAAGGTTCATCACCGAATTAACCAAAGCCCTCCACCGGACCCTGTCCTGGGCCAACAAAATCCAGTTTCCGTCAACTCCTATCTCCCATAGATCCCGCCTGAGATTATCCTCCCATCTACGTCTAGGTCTCACCAGCGGTCTCTTCCCTTCAGGTTTCCCAACCAGTACCCAGTGCACACCTCTTGTCCCATCCATGCGCGCTACATGCCCAGACCATCTCACTCTTCTCGACTTAATCACCCTCACAAGACTGGGGGAGCAGTACAGATTTTTAAGCCCGTCATTGTGCAGTTTTCTCCACGCCCCATCGTCTTCCCTCTTAGGCCCAAATATCCTCCTCAACACCCGATTCTCAAACACCTGCAATCTGTGTTCCTCCCTCTGAGTGAGAGACCATGTTTCGCACCCATACAAAACAACAGGCAAGATTATTGTTTTGTATACTTTAATTTTCAGGTTCTTAGAAATCAGACGGGAAGACAAAATATTTTGAACTGAGAAGTAGCAAGCATTTCTACAAGCCCAAACAGGTATAGAAAGCAAGAGGTGGAAAAGCCTCTTGGAAAGTGGTCACTTAGAATAACAAGAAGGTATTAATGCTGATCGGTTGTAAGACTCACAAACCAAAGTGGGAGTAAGATTTCAGGTTCTCACGACAGTAAGTATGAAGAGGTGCTTGCTGTCTCCTTCAACAAGGTGATGAGTAATTGTCGTCACCCTCATGATGGAGGCAGCAGGCAGCTCTGAAACATCGTTAAACTTCTTCCAGATTACATGGCACAACAATCCACAGGACAGCCATCTTCAAATTGTGAGTACTTTTATACTTTGCATGATTTACAAGTACATGCTCTTATGTTATTATACAAAATTTAAATTTAATTGTACATGAACCTGATAAGGTAACAGACTATGTATTGAAACAAGTTATTTTAGCACCACAGAAATTACCTCATTTAACATTGTGCATCTAAATTTCTCTCTCTGCACATAATGCACCTGTGTCTAGTTTACTTATAGCTTTAATATTAAAAGAAACATAATTCACACTGTGTCAAATACAGTGTTGCAGTTTAACTAAATGAACTGCTATCAAACATAATACAAGTTCATGAGAGAGCTTTTTAAAAAGTTGTTTTGAACAAACTGTTTCTGGTTGCTAGCCTTTATATATATTTTTGTTTATAGGTATCTGCTAGAATTTGGCCAAGTGTCTTATTATTTGGGGTACAGCGCTCTCACTGACTTCTTTCCGACTATGCGTCTGCGGCCCAATGCTTCATGTGACGATAGTTTCTGTCAACAACGTCAAGCTGAAGCTAGAGCTCGGCCTCCAAAAGAACAGGAATCTGTGGGGGACAGCAAGATGGAGGACAAGGAAGTTACTCATGAAGATAATGAATGGGGTATGTGCACTTACACTTATCATGAATTTTGTCAGCAGTGCAACACTTACTCTTGTTCCAGGGTAAAAGCAGGTTGCTACTACAAGAACATAGAGCCAAGAATATCAGATGAACAGATAAAAGTTTTTCCTTGTATCTAAGTATCATATCCTGAAAGTGTATGTGGAGTACGAAGATGAATCTCTGTGTAGTATAGATTATGTCTCTTGGTAGATGTGAGTGGTTGTTGTCTCACTCCAGTTTGCTCTGATGCTGGGGATAAGCTCTGAGTACTCATTGCGTACGAGGCTGATGGGATCCAGAGACAGCAGCCAAGATGTTTCTCTTAAAATTTGTTTATCATTTCATGATGGACTTTCTTGCTGATTCCAGTAAATAATAAAAAGTGCCTGGAAAGTTGTGTAATTTGTTTTCATGCTGCCATGTCTTCTCTAAGAATGACATAATGTCATTGTGTGAACTGTTGAGAGGATGTGCTCAATTTTTCTTCTTCTTTATTTTTACCTGTATTCCCATAGCAGGGGCACTGCAGTGTCCTTGTCATTAAACTGTGGCTGGCTTTAATTTGCTTTCACTCGCTTTTTAATGTTTTCCGCACGGAATGTTCAGAACTGCTTAGTCTCTTTGGGTTCACCGTAAGATGTGCTATGCCTGTAGCTAACTTCCCCCCCCCCCCCCCCCCCCCCGAAACAGTGGTGCCTATCTCTCTTCTCTTTCTGGTTCACAGGGTTAACAACAGACAGGTTCCGCTGTAAGACAGCTCATGAAGTTACCTCATCGTGAGAGAGAATTTGAAACGTAAATATAATTTCGAGTTTCTTAAGGGCTGAGGCAGTTAGAACCTAAATGTACGTCCACGGTTTGGAATGCACTTTGTTTTCCTTTGTGTCTTTATATATCTTCACAGAATGGTATTTAGGTACGGGGGAAATCTTTACATACATTTTTATGTTAAAAAGTTGTGATTCAGAAATTCTCTGCTGTTCTGCATGAACAGGTATCTGTCTGGTGGATGAGACTGATCCCAGGAAACTGCATGCAGATGAGGACTTGGGTCGAGGTCTGGTGGCAGGTGTGAAGGCAGCCTACACGATTCCAGCTCCAGTAGTTCCAGATGCAGAGTCAAATGAGGTTGACGCATCAGGGGTCAGCCTAGATGATCTGATGGCACAGATGAAGGCCATATGAAATACGCCTCTTTATCATATATAATAATTGTATCAAGATTGCGGCAGTTCTGAACTTAAATTTTCATGCAGAGGCAGCACACAGAATTACATGTACAGATGCATAGTCAGACGAGGTTGTGCTGGTTGCAAAAATGAACAAAGTGAAATGTGCATCCCTATCATTTGTACTAATTTCATTGAGAGTGCAACAGTTTTCTTTGTTTGTTTTTGAAAATGTTTTATAAGATTCATTCAAATTAGAGTGGACCAAATATTTTTGTTTAATGTTTCCATTTGTTTATAATATTCTCCATGGATTTGAAGCATTTATCCTCTTGATGCTTTGTTATGAGAAACATTTTGATAAAACAGTAAATTCCTGATTGTCTGGGCTAGTGAAAAAGGAGAGGATGCGTGAATGATTGAAGAACATGGATTATCCAGAATATTTTATTTCATGCATTCACAGTTCTCCACAAATTAATTTACAGTTTTTTTACACAATTGGTATTATTTTGAGAAGTAGTTTTTTTATGATTGCTTCTTTTTGTGAACTGTTTGGACTCCTTGTCACAGTAATGCAAATTGTATATAGTGTCCAAGAACATTTTTTACATCCCATCCTGGTTCTACACGATGATAACCATCAGTACCCCACCCAGCACAACAGAAATGAAACTTAACACAGTACCATGGAACAGTTTACAAAAAATAGCTGTTTTTATAATTTGTAAAGTTTCTATGTTTAAAATATTCGTCAGATTTCTAAATTTTCTAGGTTTTAAAATGTTGAGACTTTTAAAGAATTAAGAATTGTAAGTTTTTATGTTTGAAGATTATGACAAGAGCGATGATTAAAAAAGTTTGGTGCTTTTAGTAGCGTATAGTATACTAATTTACTCGGGCCCTGGGATTGACATACCGAGGTACCAGCAGCAGGTTTTTTGCAAAAAAAATGCACCTCCATCCTTCTCACACTGACTGCAGTGCAATTAATCAATATTTATGTGTAATGCTGAAGTTCAGCTTTAAATTTCTACTTCAAGTAAAGTGGAAAGTTTACATTGATAGGTAGCACACATTATGATTAATTTCTATTCTAGTTATAATAGTGTTAGTAATGGCCGTAACACTTTCTGCCTTGATGTGTTAAAGTGCTATGTGTACCAGTATAACAAGTTAGGAAACATATGCATTGTGTAACAATTCTGGTGCATTCACTGGAATCTGACCTGTGACTTTTGAGATTGTCACTGGTGACATCTCTGATTTTACTGGGGTCAGTGACCTATATGAAAGGGTGTGGTGCCTGGCACCTGTCTACCTTGATGATTAAGTCATCAGCAAGGATTCCTATGCATGTTATATAGCTAGTTTGCAATTGCCCACATGGTAATTCCCAGCTCAGCTACTTCCACATGCAGAAATGAATGTAGGTTTTCATGTGCAGTTTTCATTATTGTTCTGATTTAAATAAAACTAGAATATGTTGGCAAGTTTTACTCCCAGCATCAAATTTTATGAAAATCTGTTCAAACATTCTCATGTCACTTCATGGGGACAGATGGCACAGAGATAGACATTGTGAAGCCATCAGTGAATTTTTGCAGCTTTTACTTGTGGACATTCGTAAAAGTGCAGAGATCACAGATGTGTCGAATCTGGTACTTCAAAAAATTTTATGCTATAATTATGCTATCATCTTCCCTTGGAGTATTCATACAGTTCTTTTATTGATGTTAAGTATTGGATTCATCGAATAAAGCCACCGGGAGCTTTCCCAGTGATACCAATAATTTCCAGTCTCATGTAATACTCCTTGAACTCTCCAATATAAAATCTTACCATTAGGTTTCAGACATTGAGCTTGCTTGCCACTCTCTCTGGACACGTACAGTTGTATCAACATTTGTACAATAAGATGCCTGATTTAATCAGATTATCAATTATTCTGTCAGATATTTGACTCTAGTGCTTGGTTCATTGAGGCAAATGCTTAGATAAAGAATGTTAAAGTGGATTACAAATGTGTCTTTTCTGTTGAAGCAATTCATAAATCATTCATGCTTTAATATCATCACAGTACTGGTATATAGCAAATATGTGACATTTTGAACAAAACAAACATAATATTAGCACAGATGCATTTATCTTCAGTGTTTAATCTTCATTGAACATAATGTGTGTATGTACAGGTGTTTATCCATAATTAAATCACATATGATAAAATTCCAACTAGAAAACAGGAAAAATGAATTGCTTACTACATGCTGACTCTAATAGTCAGAACCAAGTACTTCATCTGGACAGTAAAATTTCTTGGAAAGAAATATGAATTTACAGTAGTGGACAACCTGACGTGCAGCTGATATACGTGACGTTAATTGGTTCTTTAAGTTAGATTGTTTACTCTGAACACCCCTGGAGCTGTTTTCTGTTCCGTTAATTTACCTTCCAGAATGTATATAGCTCACTTAGTTTCACATTTCATACCTTCATCAATTAAGAATTAACATTAAAGTTCTAATAGCAGTTTCAAAATTAGTAACATTTGGTTCTGGCTAATGCCATCATCAATGCATGTACAGTAATTACACTAACCATTGTATAAAATGTGAGGATATAAGAGTAGTTTCTGTCGTAATGTGTGACTTCACTTGATAAAAGATGTGGAATGGCAATACTTCAGTATATCACAAGAGCATACAAAACAAAACGTGCCTAGCTGGAAAGACCGTTAACATGATGTCATTTGAAGTAAATGTAGTGAGGGTTATGTGCCCTCACTATTTCATCTTAATTACATACAATTTTAATGAATAAATATAATCTGATGTAAAATTTTCGTCCAATAGCTGATGGTAAAATCCAAGGGGTGGGGGCTGAAGGATTTGATTTGAGAATGAAGCAGAGTTCTGAACAGTGGTGTACTCTACTGAATTTCCATTCCTTCTGGAGATCTAGATTTTAAATATATTCCAGTCCTGTTCTTTATAAAGCTCTTGAGTTCTTAAGAATAGAGAATGTACTAATTAGCTGAATAACTATCACCAACTTATGAAAACATTTAGGTGTTTAGGATAAACATTGTTTAAATAGTGTTTCACAGTTTTGGGGTACTTAGTTGCTGATGCTTAGGTTGATTAAGATTTTGACATTTTGTGAGAATGTAGTAGTGTTTTCAACAAGTGCCAAACCTGACGTACGGAAATATGTGGTAAAATTTTATATTTCTCATCAAAATGTAGCAGAGTGTCTGAAAATATATTTTAATGTTACAGATAGGCGAAGCTGTGTTCTTCCAGTCTGGAGGAAGAGAGATCAATGGTTATATTGGTGACATATGGGAGACCATGGCAGAAGTTCTGAATTTCTCGTAAATATATTAATCATGATTTCAGTGTGATAGTATAATGATTTAGTGTGATATTACATGTAGTCTTCGAATTGTGAATGGAAAAGATACTATGATGGTTGTCTTCTTCGTTGTAGCACCATGTAGTCTGGTAGGAGTTTACCAGTGTTTCAAAGGTCCTTGCTGCTTCCATCATCAGGGTGATGAGTAAGCTGCGTGCGTGAAATCGGTTTGAGTTATAGGAAACTGACAGTCAAGGCAGAACCTTGGCCTGACGATTGGAGTCACAATCGAGCATAAGTCTAGCACTGCCTGTCTCATGTTATTCTAACATCCATTTCTTCATTCATTAATCTAGGCTCAATGTGAATGATGTTTCAAACCTGAGTTTGGGTTTACATCAGGCAAATGACAATTTGACTAGCCTTCTGAGTGAGCTCCAGCACAAACATTTGCATGTGATACCACACTTGCTCATGGACAACAGCAGAAGAAATATCGCAGACTTCAGTCAACCATTTGCCATGTTAGGGTATGTAATATTTATAAACCTCTCAATCAAGGCATCGTGATGATACTAAAACTGGTACAATTTTATCTGTGCTGTTTTATCTTTGCTTTTATCTTCTGTGTGCTGAATGCCTCTTGTAGTGTGCCTTATGGTTGACATGGTGAAGGTATGAAATCTATATTTAGCATTTCATTTCTTTGTGATTAACAAGAAGCCATTAGTGTTACGCATGTGAAATATAGTAAGAAGATAGATCATAAACATACCTACAAATTCTATGCAAGCCATATTTTGTATGTTAACAATTACGAACTTGGAGATGGTGTTAACTTTAGTTCATTTCATGTAGTCAGAATCTCTGATAATTTAATTTATGCACAGAAATGGATTACTAAATTCTGTACTTATTTAATTAATGATTCCTGTTTGTTTCACTATAGAGATTGACACAGTTGAATATATGTGGGCATATGCTCTACTCAGGTGTTATTAAATGCAGTGCTGCATAAACTAAGCAGCTAATATGTCTGTATTATGCAATCTAAGACACAAAGTGCATTCTTTAACTGTTGTTTATGCATCATAAATTCCAGCATTTTGTGTGCAAAGTTTGATAACCACATGTTACACACAAAGTATCTTTTTCAGAGTCCAGCTAGTGGTTAAGAGTAAAGCGGTATCACATTTCTCTTGGCTGTGGCCCATTACACCATTCTCTGTGACATTGTGGCAGGCACTTGTCACATTTCTCGTCTCAGTCACCATCGCTGTCCACCTTAGTCTCTGGACAGCCAACAAACTGTTCCCTCAGGGCAAGCAGCCTCAACCTGACTTCTGTGAAAACTTCCTGCATATCTATGGCTTCTTCTGCTATCAAGGTTACTAATAGCTTTTACATGTATAACTGTAAATTTTTGTCTAGTCTGCTGCTTAATGTGCAGTACAGTTTAAATGCAAAGCATGACACTAGTCTTGAGTAGGATGTTTAGATTACCCATTGTTATAATGAAGCATTTATTATAAAATGTTGCCAAAATTCACTGTTACTTATTATAGATATGTATAATAATTAACAAAAGTTATGTGATTTTTAAATAAGCATATCTGAAATTAGTGATTAGCAAAAGCAAATATAACTTTTTGTTTTCATAATTGTGCTGGAATAACCAGTCAAATGAAAAGTAGTGAAAGGCAATTACTGTTGTAAATCTCTCTCCAGGCTTTGTACCACAAAATCTTGTATCACTCCAGCACAGCTATTTTATATTAGCCCAAGTGAAAGTAATGCAGATGATAGCTCTCTTGATGCTCCTGGAGTTTTCCCTCATTATAGCAGCCATCGCCAAATTGTGTGCTTCAGAGCCACTGGAGGACCTCAGCTCCCCTTGCCACGTGGCTCTGCGTCAACAGTACAGCACTGCTAGCTTTTCTGTGCTGTCACCATTCTCGAGCGAGCAGTCACATAATCTTGTTGTGGCAACGTTTTGCTGTAGATGTTGATTTATTCGTTTTCACAAATGTATAATGGCTGTTGTTTCATCCATGAAATTGCTCTGTTGTGATATGGAGATAAACCTTAAAAGCTCTTAGCTCTTACAACACCAGTGAAGCTGGGAAGATTGGTAAAATCTGCCATTGAAGTCAGAATGAGGACTGTACATTTCATAACCAGAATGTAGGTGGTAGGATTCGTGGAACATACATTTGTAGGGTATATTTTCCTCTATGACATGGAGAATAATTCAAAATACAGGGAAAAGATTTTTCATTCAGTAAAATAATGGCAAATGCATTATAATGGTCATTTCTTTTAACAAAATGAGGAATGCAGTAGTCAAAAGTATCTCATTGATTTTCTTACAAATTAAAATGTTATAGCAAGTTGAAATGAGATGTCCCACAGAACATTCAGTTTGCCTGAGCTCCACTGTTCATGTAGCAACGTTATGTGACCTTGAATCTAGTAATTTGGTGATGGCTGTTGCAGTGTCGTTAAAATCTATTCTACCAAAGAAAATTAATTCTGTTTCCACTCTGTAGGTTCTGCGTCACACAGTTGTCTGATTTCCATTCAAATAATGATGCTGTGCTCCTCACTTCTGGCATACATATTGATTCAAGCTTATGGGGCTACTCTAGTATCGCATATAGCTACTGTGATCAGCTGGGAGCCTCCATTCCACAACCTTGAAGGCCTATTACAGTCCCAGTATTCTTTGGCTGTACTCAATGGATCTGATATACATTCTGAACTTAAGGTAAAGAATTCTTATCAGAAAAGTGGCACTGGCCTACATACAAAAGACTGTATAATGGAAATTTCTGAAAATCACAAAAAGGGGTATTACAGAAATTCTTTAAAATATGAGTGAGACTGTGTTGTACAGTATGTTCATTTTATTGCATAATGCAAATTCTCCATATCCATCAAAATTACTTCAATCCTGGCTTTGTGCTAATTTATGACTTGGTCTAAGGTTTGACCACAAAGAAACCACTGAAAAGTTCAGCGGCATAAATATATAACTCCAGCACTGAGAAAGGACACATAAACACATGAGTCATGCAATGTTCCTTCAATATTATGTGCATAATTCTAATAAGCAATACAGGTCCAAAAATTACTTTAGCGTATAACACTAGATGCTAAAGACGTTGGTCAGCTCCAGTTATATAAAAAAATTGGGTACTTGCAAATTACTTTTGGGTAAAAATATATCAGGTGCAAAATAAATAGTGTGTTTGTGTGTATTTATTTAAAAGTAAAGTTTGAAGTGAGTTCCATGCACTCACTTGGTTCCATGACAAAACCGTACAAGACAAAACCGTACACGAAAATTGCGCACAGAAAGAAGCTCACTGTCATGAATGCTCACACGAAAATTACTCACACGGACAAATGCTCACACGGACAAATGCTCACACTGACAAATGCACACACTGATAAATGCTCACACTGACAAATGCTCACACGTAAAATGCTCACATGGACGAATGCCTATATTCACAATACTATAAGTAATCGGAAGCGTTAACTGGTTACCGTAGTAAACCGACGTTTCGGAATCAAATTCAATAAAATATTCTCGGGCAATCAGCCGCGTTAA